TATATCTCGCATCCATACCTGTTTTTAAAAAAAACAGAAAAAAAAACATTCATCTATAACTTTCATTACCAGTAAATTTATTACACTAATTGACATTCTCTATATATAGTTTTAAAACAAAATTGATAACAAAAACAGTGTTTGTTTTCACACAATTGTCTATTTACGGACATCAACATTGGTAGAATAATAACTAAAACAGAATAAAACCAATAGTTTTCGACATCAAAAATAATATATTCATATGCAGGCCAAAATAATCAAATGGTAGCATAGGGTTATATGATTCAGTAGGATGTCTGTTTATGGATGTTTAAATGTTGATCAAAATCTGTTATGGTTCATTTTGTACAAGATGTACAAGACATGTGGCTGTCCAGGAATGGTGTTAATAACTTGTGTGACCACCATTGGCTAGGACCAAAAAAGGATTACAAGGCTGGGGCATTGAGCCTGTATATCATTGGATGGTGTGAACCAGGATGGTATTCCACTCATCTTTCCAGAGAACATCCCAGATATGCTCTGGTGGGTTCAGATCAAAAACTTTTGTAGACCAATCCAAAACTTGGACATTGTTCTTCTGTAAGAAGGTCATGGTGTGGGATGCTGTGTTATCAAACTGTAAAAATAGAACTGTGACAGGTGCTAAAATTTCATCCTGATACCAAAATGCATTAAAATTTCCAGTGACAATGACTAATCTGGTTCAATTTCCAATGGATATGCTGCCTCAGATCATCGCACTACCCCCGACAAATCTGTCACGCTGGTCTACACTGGTCCTTCTGACATTGCTATACTTGCTGCCTCCCATCATCGTAAATCAAACAAAATCTTGACTCATCGGTGAACAAAACCTTGTTTCACAGCAATCATCAGTGTCACTGAGCCCCAATCAAGGCAATTGGTGTGATGGTGTCGCCTAAGAATTGGGCCTGTGTAAGCCCTCCTCGCACACATTCGGTGACAGCTCAGTCTGTTACAGATTGTCTAGCTGCTTATCCATTGTCCAAGCAAAGTCCTTGCTGTTACAATTGCAGAAACAGATCCCAACAAAACTGCAGCAGTACTAGATGTCTCCACAAGGGGAGGTAACTCATTGTCGCCCACTCCTTGGATGATCAGACATTGAAGTGGTTACATTAAGATCTTGCCATGCATGACAACCCATATTTTGGCTATACACCCAAACTGTCTTGCAATCTCAAGTTGTACTGCCTTGGAGCATGCCAATAGCCTTTCCCTTTTTCCTTTTGACAGACATGGTGTTAATATATACAATTTCAAACCAAATGAATGTTTATCAAGTGATAAAGGTTTTGAGATAGTGCATAAAGCATTTTACAAAGAATCAGTTTTGTTCTGATGCAATCTTTGAATTTCACACTTGACTGACTTCACTAAAAATGTTGGAAACTAATCCAGAAATTCCTACAAAACACATTTAGTTACTAAAAAATATCTGTATATATAAGCAATCAACATTTGGTGTACAGCAAGGTAACTTGATAGTGTTTTTCATTTGTAAGTATATTTTATTTCATACAGAAATATCTTTTATAGATGTAAATTGAATTTCAATCTTAAAGATAAAACAGTTAATAGAAGAGAGGAAATTGAAGAAAAAAGATTTTTATCTATACAAACTAGTACACAGATAATAAAGACTTTTTGTGATGCTTGAACATAATCCATTGGGATTAGAACGGATACCCACTGTGACTCTGAGGTACACGATGAGGTGACAGGTCAATATGCTGCAGTGAACACTCTTTGTTGTTCATGGATGCATATACCTCAGCCATCCTGACAATACAGGCCTAATGACTTCAGGAAATGCAGGAACATAAAATCAGCATGTACAACAGACCTCTATATGGGAGGTACCTGACATGGGACTAAGTATTTAGTGATAAAACATAATTGTTCCCTCGTTACTGATGAGGCTGTTACACCAAAATTATCTATGGATGTCTGCTTTATTCATTGGGCAATAAGCCTACACGACAGGTAATAAGCCCATGGATCTATACTGTTGTTCAATTAAATGCACACACAAGCACTATTTGATTGTCTAATGATAGGTATGCCCTCTTTATTGCTACTATTGACTTATTTTGGGAGAATTATGAGGTTTAAACTGAATTAAACAGATCAATTGTCCATCCTTATCAGAGCACTTAGATTAGAGTCTGTGACATTCATTTGAAATTTGAAGAATATAATTAACCTTAAGCAACAACAGGAAAAAATAAAAATATTTTATTATTCTAATTGAACAGAAGATATCAGCCTGCTCAGGGTGGTAATATTCATATGTTATTTTAATATATTTAACATTTCTGGAATGGTTTCAAATTTGAGCAAACAGATGGAATATGACATTAAATAAAAAAAATATTTATTTAAGATTAAGTTGTGATGCATATTCTCTATCAAACATAAAATGTTAAGTAAACAAAGTTCAATTCATAATCCTCCAGAAATATGACACTGCATTATTGTTTTCTCATAAGTGCAAAACATTAATAAAGTTTGATAAAATGATATCAGTGAACCCCACAAAATAGCTGTGACGACACCAGGTGAAATTTCTTACACAAAGGCCATGGACATGTATATATACACACCTGATTTTTTATAAAAGCGAAGAAATAATCGGCATGTTTCGTTCACCGTATCAAAACCCAAAGGTAAAGATGTGATGAAAATTTTTGAACAAATACACATTCCTGACTGTCAGCAAAATCTTAATGTGCTTTCGATATTATTCAATGACTTTCATCTTTTAAATTCCTCAGCTCAATGATTCCTATGGATCTAAGTTTTTGAAGAATGTGTGTGGGGTACATGATTTGAAGGTGATAACCTCTGTAAAAATGTGGGGGTGCATATTCGAAGGTCATGAACTCATGATTTCAGAGTACAGTACGCTGCATAGTGGGCATATCTATATTCACTTTTCTGTAAGTGCCTCCTGTCCTTCAGGAAGGTGAAGGGTTCTCCAGATTGGGCAGGGTTAAGAGCTAAAAGCTTTCCCAATATACATGATCAAGTGATATAAAGAGAATGTGTGTTTTATCCTACTCATGAGGGACAGATCTGTGAGTAATAATTTTGAAGGTTGGGGTGCCCAACTAAGCTTATTAATTAAGTTAAAGTCTATTTCAACCCAAATTAGAGAGACAATTGTTCAAATTGATGAGTGACTGAGGAGTACGGGTTGGGTTGTTCATCTGATACTAACATAATTTTGTTACAATTTCTCTGATCATTTTATAGAATATTTACAATCTTAAAATCATAACCACAAGACAAGAATGGTAAAAGAACAGAACATCAACATAAAATCCAGAGAACAACAAAGACATAGAAAAACAGAGAGCCTCTGTAACGTCACATTTCACATTTTCAGAATTCTTTTACATTTAGACTTACGGAGTCCTTAACTGAAAAGACAGGTACATGATAGAATCACTGTATTTCAGGAACATTTGAATCAGTGAATTTTATTTTCAGAAAGCTTTATAATAAATAATATCAGTGGCCTTGGAATGATTAATTCTTGGTTGTGATTTACAGGATAGATAGGAGAGGATTACTGATAACACAACTGAGATGTACATTTCATATTTATCACACCCCAGGTAAGGTCCCACTGGACAAAATGAATTACTTTCAAAAGATAGCAAGCTTTATTTGTGGTTAGCAGCAGATTAAATCAATCTTTCTTTTTATACATATGTTATAAATGTTATTGTTCTAAATATTTCATACCATATGTAATATAAAGATTAGCATATTTTCGTACCTGTGCTGTTGTCTGTGATTGACAATTATTGCATACAATTAACAAGACAATATCTGGTTTAAAAATGTCACCAAATTATTGTGGTATCAGTGGTTGTGGTGGGGACAGGTAGGGGCAGGTGGAATTATGGTAGGGCAGGCGTTGTGGGATTGTGGTGATGGAGGGGTGGAGTTGTGGTGGGGTTTTGATATTCATTATAACTAGGTTAAAAAATTGTACTAAAATACATTTTTAACTTAAATTATCAAATGTCTTTCCAATTTGACCAACACCTGACTTAAAACACATTTCAGATTTCAATATTTTAAGGAAATTGCATACTTAACCTAAAATGTTTCTAGATTTTAAAATTTATTTAAAACATACATTGACTATAAATTTTTTTTATCTCTTTTCTGTTTGTAAAATCCTTGACAAATGTCGGTCACCTGTAACAAGCTATTTCCTGTACACTTCCGATTTTATTTGTCAAAAGCATTTTATGACATTCTTAGGTAAAATTGATTTATATTCCATGCTCTGGTGAATTCCCCTGTAGGGACATCACCAAATTATTCAGGTAATTAACATTTGATCTATGGAAAGAAATTCATTATTCTGCTGTGATAGGTCACTTGATCATATTTTTTACAGGAAACTTTTGAAGACACCGAGTCAGCTAGCAGTTGTAAGTTATCTTGATGCAAACATCATCTTCATGGTATGAAGATATTACAGTATATATCCTACAATAGACCTCGGGGACCAATACACTGATCTGGTTCTAAGTGAGAGGTGAAGTTTTAGGACAATGAAATAGCATGGTTTTATAATTTTACTGAGCAACATTATACATGGGTCGGTTTATTACCCGACATAGGCTTAATAGAGGTATTATAATTTTCATGAATCTACATTGCAAGCCTACAGAGATTTCTAGGATAAGTTTTCCAGAACTGCAAGTTCATACATCTTATCAATAATCAGACATTATATCAATTTCTGTATTTGTACAGTTAATATCAAATATAAAAATCTAGATTAGACACAGGGAAGTCTATATGTAGAAAACAGTTTGTCTCTCAGTCAATTATTCAATATTCATCCTGGAACAAATGTGATTCTGGACAAAGATTTATCACAAATTTGTCATAGATATTGAGATTATAATGTCCTATGGTATATCTCAAAAAATAATCGTACTTACCACTCCACGACAGAGCGCCAATGCCACTTTGGAAGAATGGGAGATGATGTCCCCACTGTACATGCAATCATCAGTGTGCGACGAACTCTCTGTTTCCATGGAGTTTGTAATGTTGTTTCCATGTCGCAGATAGACTTTGAACCCAGGGGCCAGTAAGTGAGAATTGTGAGAGAGTTTAACATGAAATGTCTCAATGTCTGATGTTATGTTGAGGTACAAATGATTATCTAGTTGGACACTGCGACGACGACGCTCCAATACATGAGAGTTATGTGAATCATAACCCCAATGTGAGATGAAATGGCCTTTGCTATTTACACGGATGATATGAGCAAATCTGTGAACTGAAACAAACAAAAAATGTTGAAGAAATCAATCATAAAATATAATTCTAGGTTTTTTAGCAAAGGATTGCCGGAGTCCTAAATATAGTTCATGTGACAGTTATATGAAACACCCCAGAGAGATTTCTGAGATGGTTAAACAAAAAACGTTTTGGGTAAATGTAAACTAAATGATACTGGAAGTGAGAAAATATGTATTTATCATACAAGTGTTCATACACCTGTTAAACATATAAACACCTGCGATGCAAAAGTGTAGTAAAATATCAAAATGATAGAATTGTCTCTGAAATGATAGAAAATGCAGTCCTAATTATAAAGAAGGACTGCCTAAGGGAGGAAATGACACACCTGTACAATGTCAAAGTGACATATATCCCTTTAATAATATACATTCAACTGGAAATCTAACTAGAAGAATAGCTAAATCAAAACAAAACAGATAAAACAATGACAGTGTCAGTGTCAGTGACCACATTTAAGAGATCAGTTGAAAAATGAGTGGGATCTTTTGACAAAATTTTAAAATTAAAAGAACAAAGGACAAAGGCTCTATTCTAAGAATTGAAATGTCCTAGGAGAAAACAGTAACATGTCATGATGATTGAGCCTACAAGGTTCCTAGTGAAAAACTCACATAAATGAACTGTGAACATGATAAAAACTACTGGACGTAAATCGTTTAAACATTGTGCATTAGTGTTCTTTTACTTTTGTTTCATGCAATTTTCTGTCATTGTTATGAAGCTTTCCAACTTTCATAAGTGATTGGTACAAAAGTCAAACGGGTGATCTCTGGACAAGAATTACTTGTTGATACATGTACAAAAAAGGTCAATAACTCTTCAAAATTTCCTGAAGAACAGCTTCATGTCCAGGTAAAAAAAAGTTTAGAAAGCTTGAAAAAGATTGGTTGAAAAATGAGAAAGGACATCCCAAGACAGGACAGAATTGCTGATTGGAAACAAAGGGCAGTTACTTGTCTTAAAATCATTGAAATATAATGTGCTGTTTAGGAGGAGAATAAGGATATCTGTAGATAGAAAAAAATGCTGATTGAAAACAAAAGGGCAATTACTCTTCATAAAATCACTGAATTATAAAGTGTTGTCTAGGAACTCAGAAAAAGATATTTGAAGACAGGAAACAAGAGGCCCATGGGCCTTAACGGTCATCTGACAAAAAGCAAGCCAAACCTAGAAAGTGGGTTGAGGTCATTCATTTGAACAAACTTGGTAGCCTCTCCTCCAAGCATCTTACAAGCCCAATATCAGCACTCATGGACTTTTGCTTGTTGAGAAGAAGTCGTTTGTATATTTTAACATATTTGACCCCTGTGACCTTGAAAGTGGGTCGAGGTCATTCATTTGAATAAACTTGGTAGCCTTTCCTCCCAGCATGCTACAGAAATATCACTCATAGACTTTTGCTTATTGAGATCAAGTCCTTTGTATATTTAAACATATTTGACCCCTGTGACCTTGAAAGTGGGCCAAGGTCAAGAACAAACGTTGTAGGGCTCCATGCCAGCATGCTATTATTATTCTAAGAAGTTATTCAAAGATTTTAACATATTGTGTGACCTTGAAAGTTGTTCAAGGTCATTCATTTGAACAAACTTGATAGCCCTTTCCCAGCATGCCACAGGCACAAAAATGCCTTTTGATTGAAAAAAAGATTTTAACAATTTGGCCCCTGTGACCTTTAAAGGGGGGGTCAATTACAAACTTGGTAGAGCTTGCCAGTATCCTCTGTGCCAAAATTCTAGATTTGATAAGAAGTTGTTTGATGAATGTGGTCATCTTGACCCTTTGGGTCAGATGACCTAAAAATGATTTAATTATAATGTGCTGTCTATGAAAATAACATCTCATTAAAAAGTTTTTAAGGTCACATTAAAAAGACAAGTTTGTTGAGATATATCAATCCAATGTTTAAAAAAAAGCACAACTACATGTCATGATATTGTTACTGAGTTTCCAAAATGTAAAAAATCCAAGAAAGGAGAAATGGAAAGTAGAACAAAGGGCAATTAATCTTTTAAAAAATAAATTCAATTATTATTATTATTATTATTATTACATTCTTAATGGCCCGTCAACACATAAAAGGTCATTAGGACCATCAACCAATTAAATTCATTAAAGAGAAAGATATATGAGTGTCAAACACTTAGGTTAACTGAGAACTGAAAAAGAACAAGTCAATATCAAAATTAGTCGCAAAATTTAACTGATACATCAACACTTAGCAAACAGATACAAGCATATCAAATTTTTTAAAAAAATCCATGCAGTCCTTCAAGAAAGATAATAGCGACATAAACAAACTTTAGCTATAACAACAGAATGGTCAAGGGTAACCTTTGACCTTTAAATGCTTTGGTGGAATTATGAACCAGATCAGTTCAGGGGTTCATGAGATATACATTAAGGCAACCACTGAATGAATGCACACACAGATGGATAGGTGTAAATGTTGCTGCCAGTTCAAGGAGGAAGCACAAGATTTGAACAGATAAAATACCAACATTGTTGGAGAGTTAGCTAAATGAATGACGCCTTCCAATAGGCAATCTTCTGACTTCTGTTTAGATATATGTATACCCATAATATATATATATCATTACAAATACATGTATATGTGTATTTAACAGATATAGTTTTTAAACATTATTATGTTAATTTCATGTAAATGTTTAACTCATCAGAGTTAAGTGACATATCCATTTAAATGATATTACTTACTGTGCATCATATCAACAAAACATGTTACGTAATTTTCAAAATTTTTTCCTCATTCTTTGCTACATGATTGTACACTCCTTTTCATTCACCATTTCATATTTTATGTGTCCTATTCTCTACACTAATTACTTGGCCTGTCTTTATCTATTTTGTCCAAGAAACTCGAGATCTAACCATGCCTAACATTCAAGCATTAAATTATCTTGATATGGCATTTATGACCTCTATAAATGACAGAACTTTGCAGGTAAGCATCCTATTGTACACATGCAAGCACAACATAGCGTTTTTGTCTGCACAACATCTAAATCAAGACACCAGGATAAAAGATTATATAACATCATTGCTTCTCCTAAAGTAGGCCACCTTGAATTTTTAACAACATAAATGTAAATATGTCTACCCTACATCGAAGAAAATAAGACACTTAAGTTCTAGTGTCTATGGTGTGACTAGACTTTCTCCAGAATAAAAGGCCCAATGTAATAGAAGGTGTCTTTAGGGTATGTAATTACCTTGTCCTTTAGACTAAAAACCATTCATTACAAGATATCAATTAAGACATCTGTACTCTACATGTCTTCCTAGATGTTTCAGACACTCTTATTAGCCTCACAATTAAGTGACTTTTGGTGTCTTCCCTGCTCCTGAGACGATGATTGAGACACATAATTTAACTCTACAACATGTCTAACCTGCTCCTCTTATTGTAAGACACAAGAATACAAATGTTGATGTGTCTTCTCTCTATGCCGAAATACATTTGTGTTCAATTGTCTTCGAAAATACCCTAAAACCAAGTGTCAATGATGTGTTTTCTTTTTCTCCTTTTCAAAGTGTCTCTGCTCTCTAAAGATACAATTGAGTACAAATGTCAATGGTTTACTCTGTTCTACAAACTAAAAGACAATACAATGAAGTGTCATAATCCTTCTCTACATTGTAATTTGTATTATAAGATACTAGTAAAAGTACAAGATCTAATATGTGTCTATCTTTTTCCACTGATACAACATTACATATTAAGTGTCCTTCCTGTGTCTATATCTATAATAGACTGTAAGACATTATATTAATACATTTGTTACAAATGTTTCATAATGATGAAACCACCCTGCTCTTCAGACTCAATTTGATACAAGCCTCCCTGTAGTGTTAACAGCCTTCTTTGATGTACAGGAAAGCTTACACTACACAAACTGATCTGAATATTACTGTGTGTAGCAATGCACTTCAAATACATTTCTTTCCATTCAGATTCAGACAAGAAACTTGATACAGGATTAACTCACAGGGCCATATTTATACACCAATTAAGACTGCTTGTCACGGACATGGATAGCTGGCACACGAGTGATCAGGTACACAAAATACAGGCTTTTATATATCAAAATTCTCCTGTTTACCTGCACAGCATTCTATATCAAAAGTGTATCACAGGGATTCATTGATCAAACCAACACAGTTTTTAACACAATAGCTAGTCACTGCCACTAAAAAGTATGACATGTATGATTTAAAAAATTATTTTACAATTTATGGAGATCTAGACAGAACAAGTTTCAAATGTGAAAAAAAAAAAAACTGTGTTGCCAAAATGACACTGACTGTGGTTACTGACTCAAAATTTTATACAGACAGAACTCTATTACCACGACAGAAAAAAATGCTTAAGTTTAGTTGGTGCAATTTGTGATAGTCCTGATGCTGAGAAGATGTGTCGATGGTTTGTCAGATAATAATACCAGCTGAGAACGACTTCACATTCACAAGTCAAACTGTCTTGTCAGCTTTACAATCATATTACTTTCTAAAATTCCAACTTTTTGATTCATTAATCTAATAATCAAAATGGTTTAATTAATTGTTAAAATTCATAACTGACTTGTTAATTACTATTTGAACCTTGCATTTTCTTCGTCATACATCTTTTTAGAAAATTACAAAAAATTAATTTGTGATAAAATTTCCTCAGGATGATAAGTTTTTAACAGACTGTCCAATGTACTGAAGATGAGCTTAGATTCATTTCATTACTTTGAAAATTTTCAACCACAGTTACTAGGCGGAGACCCTTAGTCTTGTGGATAGCATGTGGCTATGTTTATTCTAACGCAAAAAGTTACATATTTGTGGTCAAAAAAGCATTAGGAAGCGTGGTAGGAGGATGACATTAACACAGAAACACTTCAGAATTACTAATATAACTGTAGAAAGCTGATTCAGGAGTTTGAGATAGGAGATCGGGTGAAT